AAAATCATTTTAAACCGAAGCGGTTTAAAATGATTTTCAATTGTTGAACATGATAATTGCAATTGTTAGTTTTGTTTGTTGGTGTTTTTTGTAGATGATGTTCATGTTATTATAATTCTCAGCAAAAGTTCAGCAGGGTCAACTTGACTTCTGTCAGATATTTGTTTTTCAAATTTTTCACTCGTGATTTTCAGTCCTTAGACATAATTTCTAAAACTTTATTTTCATATCAGCTTTTCTTATACCTCTTTCTGATGATTTCAACCATTCCAAAATATCAATCTTCATCCATTTCAGAATCAGTGATGTCTTTTTTTTAAATATAGTTGTGACTCCTGCAACGAATTTTCATCTTCCAACTAATAATTTCGAAGAAATGCGTAACAAATATGCATAAACACTTATATAAAATGTTTGTATTCTTGTTCGGAAGCCCAATACAAACTACATTTTCATTCAGAATCAGTTCAATTTAATTCATTTTATACTGTCACTAGGTCTGTCAAAAAACAACATTGATATGTGGAATGTAAAGACTCGGTATAGTTTTTATAACAAAAAAAAGAAGTATTCACAGTGGTAAATATCAACTTCAGAACCTCATCAAAGAGAAACTAGATTCTCATGTGAATAATACTGAAAAAATGTGTAGGGGACATGACGTAGAAAAACGTAGAAAGCTGCCATATTGGCAAGGAAGTTAGTGTTGTTATGGTGAGTAAAAAACACGAATCTCACCTGTATGAAAATGAGATAGAAAGTCACAAATAAGATCTTGGCAATTTTCAACTCAAAATTTGTAGAAAAATATTCATTTTCTTGAAGCTGATATAAATTGTTTGAAATCTGTATTGGTACTATGACGTGAAAGATGAATGCCATTTATTAGAATCAGTATTAACCTGTTCACCAGTTTTTATTTTTGTTATATCATCAGAGTGAGAAAATGACTCAAAATTAAGATCGACAGTCACGAGATTGAATTTAGCGATGAAATTAAATGTTTGGGGCTTAGTATTGACTACAAATTACGCTTTCAATCACATGTCAACTCACTAATACGTAAAGCTTATGGATGTTAGAAAAACTTTATTCGAACAGACATTTTCTCAGTCGAAACATGAAAATAATTTTATGCAATAGTTTAATTTTATCCATATTCAACTACTGCCATATCGTCTAGGGACCTTGTCTCGATTAAATCACGTCATCAAGAATACAGAGAGTTCAGAATGCATGTAAAAGATTGATTTTTGGTTTGAAAATCAGAGATCATGTATCGTCTTTCACAAATCGGGTTGGGTGGCTGAAAATGATTACCAGAAAGGAAGTGCATCTGACTAACTTCGTTCAAAACCTCAGAATAAAACAGCAACCTCAATATATTATGAAGGAGTTGATATACAGACGCAATACAAATGATAGAAGTCTCAGTAATCGGAGTGAATATTCTATCCCACGGCATAAATCCAAACATTTCAAGAGATCCTTCTCTTATCAGGCTGTTAGTATCTACAATAATATCAAAGAAAGTATGAAAAAGCTTTCTTTATTATCTTTCAAATATAGATTCAACAAATTTGGCCTGAATAAACAATTATCTTGAAATCAAAAAACCAAAAACAATTCTTGAAAATATATCACGTTTTAAATTTTTCTAGTTTACTTTCAGCATATTGGAATTGATATCATTTGTATGTTTTTACTTATGTATGCTTATAACTTCCTATAATGAACTCCCTTTCCGATGAATGGAAAATGTATGTTGGAGAAAACTGAAGCTTTAAATTTAATTAATTACAGAACATAAAAAGCATTTCAGACGCTTTCATCCATCCCATATAAATTAATAGGGATTTTACGAATCCTTTTTATTACCGCTCCTGAATTCACCGAGAAATGTTTTCTAATTAGGCAAAATATAACATTTTCTAGACGAAACTGAATATTACTTTACGTTGAGTTGACGATAGTTACGTCCATCGTCTTTGCAGTTCGAGTTGGTCGACGAGGACTACATCAAACTACATTAGTTTGTATCTGCTTGCGAGTGAGGAATGTGTAATTCTAATAGATTCAGCACATCCCCTTTTCCACAAAAGATTCTCTATTCAATCGGAGAATGAGGAAACATCGCTGTCTCGTTAATACCATAGGAGTGCCAAAGATGGTAATGAAGCACTCATAGGATCGCGGTATAAAGATGGATATAGGCGAAAACCGCATACTCTGGACGCTTCGTGGTAGGTCCTTGGCCCATCATGCCACTGGGCTAGATCAGGGTTTTGAAGGCATTGTCCTGGCAGAATAGCACTAACCCCTCAGTTACCGACTTTAGCCCACTTGGGGCTTTGCCAAGCCACATTCATTCTGAAAAAAATCCCAAAGATAAGCTTATCCTTGTGTATGGTTGTTGGTCTGCACGGCTTTGATGTAAGCCTTTGGCTTTGTAACTTATATAGTTGTAAAAAACATAGGTCAAGTTCATCAGCCGCTATGGCAGCTGCCTCAAAAAAGTGCTCCAATTTCTGCTCTCTCATGGTCGCGTACCATGCAGAGAAGGAAATTCTAACTTCTTATGACTTGAAACACTGCAAACTCAAAGGAATATGACCTTTCTGTTGTCGGGTGGGGTATAATCGTAAAATGGATAGTTGGGATTGCAGAATCTAACAGAGATGCATCATATATTGAGTCTACATGTCGAATTTAAACAGTTTCTCTCGATGCCGCTCCAGTATTTCAAAGAAGTAAAGAGTTAGATCGAAATGGCGAGCAGCAACTTTATTCTTCCTGGGCAGTTCCGATGACCTGATCTCTTGTGAAGATGTTGCAAGATTTTTCCGTCTACGATCTTCACATCCTCTTCATAATTCCCGCATTATCCTCTTCTGGGATGGACCGTTGAACATTTATTATTATTTTTGATGAAACGTTCAAAAGTAAACGGCTGGAGTCAAGGCTAGAGAGAAGATAATCCGGGCTGCAGTACCAAACGTATCGTCTGCGGCAGACATCATCAGTGGTAAATGCGTTGATTGCGAGGACGAAGGTATTATTTCGAAGTCTACGAAACGACTGACTGGAGAGCTACGTGGGTATGGTGGTGAGGACTACTCATTGTTCACTACTGATTGGTCTGCATTTTTGTTGGATCGTTCTAATTGGCCGAACTGTTATTGGGTTGTTCTAGCTGGTCCACATTGTTGACAAGTATGCTATTGATGGGATGTGGCTTTANCATCGGTTATAGCTAATAAAGGACAATGAATCTGTTACCTGTATGAGACAAACAAAGATGACATATTTCAGAGGCGTGCTGTTCTGTTTACTTATGCTCCGAGTTCCGAGACATTCTGTGACATATGATATTTTGTGCACCTAACCTAGCTTCCTCTATATATATTTTTTCTGATTGATTCGGCCGTTACTTGATGAAGATCCATAGTAATTTCACAAACTACACCTAAACAACATGTTTCGCTAAACATTAACTCTTTCAAGTGAATGTGCATCAATTAAATTAATTAATAATGCATTCATCACTTGAAAAAACTAATATTCAGCGAAACATGTTGTGATATATTTTTTCAATAAAGTTTGTGGATATCAAATCGTTTAGGTGTAGTTTGTGAAATTCCTCTATATAAATAAATAACAAAACAACTGTTGTTTATGTGGCTTGTGGAGGTGGTATTGGACTATAATTTATATTTTGCCTCAATTAAACTCAACTTTATTTTCTTCAAACTTGCATTTGCTGTTATAACCCAAATTGAGGAACATTCCCCATTATCGAACCCTGAATTATATACTGGCCACTGTTTCCGAAGGTCATCTGCGACTATTTTAGTTAATGCAGGGGCAGATCTTTTAACTTTAAAACGCCATTCCTGTCGGATATAATCCAACGCCCTTCGTGATATTAGCCAGGGGAGTAGTTGTTTTCTGACTGACTGGCGTGAGTCCATTCAACCTACTGTGTAGATATGTTCGACACTGGCTTGAAAGTTTAAAGTTCATTTCTTTACATTTCTTTACATTTACTAAAAATGTTGATAAAAAATATAATAAATCACGAGAAAGTTACATTATACTGCCACCCAGTAGGATCGAAGAAAAGAAGATGTGCTGCATTGCTAGAACCTTTTCTGAAGATCAATACTGAATGAATGAATTTCTCAATACTGTCTTTTGATGATCTTGACCTCCCTCAATATTTATGAAGATTTGTACATTGCAACTTTGATCCGGTTGCTGAGTATGCAATCTGTGCAAAGTTTGTGTATTTGGAGATTGTTTTATATGTCTATATCGTGTGAACATATCAATTTTGATGTCTCTAAACTTGGAATATTAAAAGATGGAATTCTGAATACTGAGTGTGTTTGTTTTAGAATATTGAAGTTGAGATTGGAACATTGTTCAATTCATGTCTTTACTTGAATGAGTTTGAATTATTTCATGATTATTTTCCATATTTGACAAAACTAGTACCAAAGCATATGAAATAACCATTCTGATTCCAACAAAGTAATATAGAACAAGAAAACACTAATATTACAACAATGGAACGATTATTGAAGAAAAGGTATACTTATAGCTCGTTTATTCAGTTGGACACGGACTAATATGGTTTGGACATCGTAGTTGTCAAAAAAGGCGATAGGTACTCAGAACTTTCATCAACAAGCATCAAGATAACGATCAACAATACTGTCGAAAACAAATACCTAAGCTTATTTTTTTACAGTCGTACATAGCAAAATTCATATTTATCAGAAAATTTTGGCGAAAATTCAATCAAGCTGTCGGATATTTGATGAATATCCATATCAAAAGTCACTCATCAATAAAGTTTACTTTTTGATTTTCACTGTTAAAGGTTTACAAATCCGCGACACATGTTATGTTATACCTCAAACAATATTCGGAACAGAAACAATAATTAATTTATATTTTGAATTCTCTTGGCGCTTTTCAAAGCTGTGTGCACGATCTTAGGTAGATATGTTCTTTCTTCCTTTCTGTTTAAGTTCTTTTAATGTTTGTGTATTTCTTGTTGAATAATGATTCGCGGTTGTGAGTCTTTCGGTATTTTCGAGAAGGATCTTGTGTTTCCCGTCGGACAGATACTCAGACAGTTTCTTAGTTGGTTTGAAGAGGGTGTTAATTTTCTCCTTCTTTAGAATTTTCCCGATTCGTTTGGTGATATGGCATATGTATGGCAGATAGACAGTGCTTTGGGGTTGATCTTCACTGCTGTTTCTTTTCTCTTCTTTTGGACGTGTAGCGCGGATTATGTATTTTCTGTTGTAGCCGTTGGTTTGTAACACATTTGTTATGTGTTTTATTTCGTCGTCGACATACCTTTCTTCACATATCCTCAAAGATCTGTTCAGTAGGGTGTTGATGACGGTTCGTTTCTGTTTTGGATCATGGTTGGATCCATTATGTAGGTATCGATTGGTGTGTGTTTTCTTCCTGTATACTTTATGGTCCAGTTGATTATTTTTCTTGATAACTATAACATCAGTGAATGGAGTTTGGAGGTTTTCTTTAAATTCCATGTTGAACAGGATTTTTGGATGTGGGCTATTCAGATAAATTTGGGAAATTCTGAAGTTCGTCTTTTCCATGACTCCAAACAACGAAATTGTCATCTACATACCTCAAAAAGTGCTTCGATCGCTTTTCTGGAGTTTGAATGGCTCTTTCTCCAAATTTTTCCATATAGGAATTTGCCACTACTGGGCTAAGTGGACTGCCCATGGCGACTCCATCAGCTTGTTCGTAAAAGGTTTTATTCCATTGAAAATGAGTTGTCGTTAGTGACTGTCGAGAGAAGTTGATACCTTGTGGAAAGATCTCCTCTATGTAGCTTACGGATTCCTCAAGTGGTACATTTGTGAAAACGGATACAATATCGAAGCTAACTAGTTTCATTGTCAACCACCTTCAGACAAACCCTAACTAGAATGTTAGTAGATAGCAGGTAGCGGAAAATAGCAGAAAATCACCAACCACGCACACTTTTATGCCTCTCACCAACAAAATATACATGGAAAATAGCTGAAACTGTGACCATATCTTCGGAACAAGTTTACCAACACAAAATAATAAAAAAATCGCTAATCAAATGTATGTAGCCCGCTCGCGTTCACCTCAGAATAAGTATTTTTTTTTACAGTGGATTACCTTCCATAGGACCAATTCAAAGCTGGTGACTGATGGATTAGTGAAAAAATAAACTTCCATTACCGTATTTCTCTCATCAATAATATTCCAATTTAATGATATTGAAAATGAGTTCGGTTCGAATCATTACAGGCGTATTTACGCTGGGTGGTAATTAAATATTTTTAATGACACAAAAACAAACAAACTGCTTTCACCAATGTTCATACAAAGGCTCGATTCATGAAATCGGAGCATGTGCTCGCGAGCTGCAAACAAGTGCATTGATGCGGTTACAGGATATGTTGATTGAAGACTCATCCGATTTATTCCGGCATTTTGATATTCAGACTGAATGTTTTGGCCTTTCAGTACATTTCAGCGCTTTACAGCCGGTGTCCAGAAGACGAGGAAGTGTAACGGATGTGGCTTGTCATGTGCTAAATTAGCATTTTACTCGGAGAGGATCTGAGATTTCAGTGAACATAGTGAAACGAATATAATGGAATTTGAATGTCGTTTCTATTCATCCAAAATGAAATCTGTAATAAGTACTTTCAATTCAGTTTTCATTTTTCATTTTACTGATTCTGATATTGATATTATTTCAAGTCAACTTGTCAAATTCGTATCCCGACAATCTACCAAAGTAGTCAAGTGTATAACAACGCGGACGAAATATCCAGGAAACTACGTATCCAACATCAATCAAGTATAGGATTGAGCGCTTTCTATCTTTGAATTTAAATAAAACAAAGTGTTTGTGAGATATCATAGACATTTTGTATTCGTTTAAAACACCTATTGATTATTCCACGACTCTGGCACATACTCAGGCTGAATTTGACCGATGTCATGTGTTATATTGGCTTGAGGACCCCTGTGGTACGTGGCTTATTCGCATACACCTTCACAAGAAAAAATCTAACGGGGTCAAATCGGACCATATCGATGGCCAGTTCAAGTTACCTACACTTGAGATGACCATGGCTTCAAATCGCTCGTGCAGAATATCGAATGTGACATGAGCTGTGTGGCACTTAGCACCATCATGTTGAAACCATATCTCGTTGGTGTCTAGATCATCCAATTAAGACCAAAAGAAGTTGGTAATCATCGACTTATAGTGCCCGCCATTGACAGTGATGGTCTGGCCAACGTAGTTCCCAAAGAAATATGGACCGATGATGCCGCCAGCTCAAAATCCTCAACAAACATTGAATTTTTCATGGATCTCATGTGGATTGGTATCGTCCCAAATTCGACAACTTTGTTTGTTTACGTACCCATTCATCCAGAAATGTGCCTCATCGCTGAAGATGATTTTTCGATGAAAATTAGGGTGCAGACCCAAGTCATGACGCAGAATCCTCCAAGTTGTCGCCTGCGAAACATCAAGTTCTTGTAAGTGATGCCAAATCGGCTGCCTCGGATTCTTCTGCATACTCTCACAGATACCGACAATATTTTGTTGGTGTTGGTCGATCATTTACTGAACCAGTGGACTCAAATTCATCCACCACATTGCGAATTAATTACAAATTGAACAATTGAACAATCATTTAAATAAATGTTAAACAGGATTGGACCTAGTATGGTTCCTTGAGGTACACTATACGTTACTGTTTCGTGTTTGCTATGGATATTCTTCAATTTGACTTTTTGCGATATATTTAAGAGATAGCTTCTGAACAAGTCTAGAGCTTTACCACTAATACCTGAATTTTTGAGTGTTTCGATTAGTAGGTTATGGCTGACCGTATCGAATGCCTTAGATAAGTTAAGAAAGACGCAGAGAGCAGGCTGGCTTTTGTCTAGAGCTGAAGGTATTTTGGAGGCCAATTTTAGTATCGCGTCTTGGGTGGAAACACCTTCTCTGAAACCATGTTGCTTTCTGAAATTATTCCGAATTCATCAAAAAAATGAAGTCAATTTGAAAACGTAACAGCACGGGGGACTCCCTCAAGGTGGGAACTATGCCTTCTTTCCTGGTCAGTCCTGATGGATAGTCTGCTTGACGTTCTTGACAGAAGAGAAGTAAATCTGCAAGCTTATGCTAGCGGAAGAGCAACCGGCAGTGTCCTTCAAAGAAGGCTGGACATTGTTCACAGTTGACGTCATAGGGAGCAGATGTCTGCCCTTCAGTAGTGATAGGAAGAGAAAGGTGGATGATATGACTCCATTTTCCACCAAGTCACTCCTTTTGTAATATAGGTGTGGTATCTATGTGGTATCTAGGTATTATCCTTGATGAATAACTGACTTGGAGAGTTCACTTGAAAGTCTGCCAAAGACACTACATTGCGAGCATGGAAATCTTTTACTGATTCCACAAAAGAGGTTTTTGCAGAGCCTAGCATTATACAGTCCAGTTCCCAAACAGGGAGGATTAAATCCTCCGAGAGTAGGAAATGGTAAGCAGATAACAGTTGATTCACAGACGGATCAAAACACCTTCAGGTTCTGGCACAAAAAGACGGAGATATAAACTTGCCTAGAAACATATGCGACCATATTCTGAGTGATAATTTATGCCATGCCAACGTCTAGTTGGTCCAGTTGGTAGAGAACTGACAAAAAACTGTCCTTTTCTCAAGATTCAAATGTTCTCATTTGGAATAAGAAGGAAAAACAATGTAACGTTTTCGGTTTTCGAATTCATGACTACGATTATTAAAAACAGTCGTAATATGTTGCAACTATAAAGATTCACAAACTATTATATGAGAATTGAACATCTGATATCAGTAAACTTTCAGATGTCCACAAGGGACATCTTGAAGTGAATTTGGAATGAGTGATATCATACTCCACATGCAAAATTATAATTTCTAATTGGTAATCAGATGCAATACAATTCGATTCATCTACATTCCCATCGATTTCTTTACTGATTGTGTACACCTGATTTATGCTTCCACCTAATTCTTCATGCAAATCATCAATTAGTAAACAATAACTGAACGTGTCGAAATATATCACTATAATTTGCAAAGACTGTTTAAAATTTGCATAAAAACGTTGTTAACAAATTAATGAAGTCCGTATCACAGAATAATCTTGAACTGAATCTGTTATTCATTTCATGCAGAATTACCCAGTCACGATAAGCACGGAAATAAAATGAGTGGTTAGCTTTCCACTGAGTGTCCAAAAATCTCACCATTCCTGATGTTGATTTATCTTTGATTCGTTACGAGTCACCAATAAGCTGATACAAATCACATCGTGTTGCTGAATTGTTGTATTGTCAGAGGAAACCTGAAGCGTCGGGAGGTTTATTTTCCTATCTGAGCTGTCCATAAAGGAGTCTCTGCCCGCTACCTTACCATGTCTGGTTGGAAGTTCTTCTTCTGGTGGCTGAATATCCTTGTCTTCCTGGCGTTGGCAAAATTTACATCCGATTGTCAGGCATGGTCTTCTTGAGAGGCTATCTGCGTTTCCGTGACTCTTTCCTTTGCGATGTTTCCGGAAAACCCCTTCAATTTTTTTTGACTCCTTCAAGCTTCTTTTCAAATTTCCTTCGGACTCCTTCAAGCTCCTGTTCAAGTTTCCTATCAACCCCATCAAACTTCTCATCGACAAATTGTTCCAATTTGTTTCTTGAAATACTTTCTCAAATTCTTCCCGAATCAATTCCTGTACCTCTTCTTTACTCACTTGGGAAGAATTCAAATCTTCAAATAAATGAAGATACATCTTATTTTCCTCTCAATGGGCTATGGCACATTGATCTGCATTCACCGTTATGCTCTCGTGTCCTTTCGCTACTTTTTGTCAGGTTTCAGGAAATCTGTAGTTTCCAACAATCAATTTGTATGCCCCGGTTTTTTCACAGTTGGTGGCATCAGTCGCATTTTCTTAACCGATGAACTCAATTTGGAGTTTACAGATCTGTTCAGCATTGATTCCTTGCTAAAAGTTATTCCTCTGAGCTTCGTTCTATTCGAAACGTTTTCTTGATCCAGTTCCGTTGGAATTGGATACCTGCCCTACGACCTACGAGGTCTTATATGGTTGTGGATAGCTCCATAGTTGGCTCTCGTACACTCGCTTCAAATATTGTTGCCCATATCACATTTCCAGAACTTTTACAATCCTTTGGTGATTTTTTTGACTTTTTGATCTCGACAGTTGGTGAAAACATCAAGTGTACAGTCTGATCTCAGTGACATAAAACATGGAGTACCTCAGGGATCTGTTTTAGGACCAATGTTGTTTTTGAAATACCTAAATGACCTGAGAACCAATAACATCGCGGGACAATTTACTGTATTTGCCGACTATATTACTATTATATGGAGTAATAAAGAAATTAATCAGGTATCAAATATGATAAAAATAGATATTCCACAAATTAAAGCCTGGTGTAACGCGAATTCCTTGTGCTTCA